TTTAGAGATGTTACCACTGGGGAAAACAGTAAAAGTTACACAGATCTCTCTGAAGTATTTCTTACAAATGCATGTGAATCTACAATTAACCCAAAATGAAAAGTTTAATCAAAAAATAATCATCTCTCAGGCCAGCCCGGTGGCATAACTGTTTGGATAGTGGCCCGGGGTTTGCTGGTTTGGATCCCAGGTGCAAACCTACTCGCTGCTTATCAAGCCATGCTGTGGTGGCATCCCACATATAAAGCAGAAGAAGATGGGCACAGATGTTAGTTCAGGACCAGTCTTCCTCAGCAAAAGGAGGAGGACTGGTGGCAGATGTTAGCTCAGGGCTAATCTTCCTAAAAAATTCATCATCATCATCATCTCTCATTTGTCTATGCCAGAGGCAGATGTCACACACCCAGAGATTCACATCTGTTCAGATCACCATGATCTGGCCTTACTCTCATCCTCATAATATGCTCCCTCTTAGACTCCTCATGTAGAAATGACATGTACCTAGGAATAGGCAGGCTGTGCCAGCAATTGCACCAAAATGGCAATACGCTAGGAGAAGGGATTTGCCAGCACGAAAACTTTGGGTAGCTATGATGGCCATGAGGGTATGGATTTAGGGCAGGGAGTCTAAAAGTATTTTTACCAAGAATAAGGGCCGGGAACCTTTCTGAGGCTCAAGGCCATGGCTTGGCCAAGCAACAAGGCTAGAGTTTAGGTCGTGCTAGGCAAGAAGAGCCATTCGCTTACTCATCTCCTCCTTCACTCAACAAATATTTAGTGAGAAATCCCAAGGAGCCAGACACCAAGACAAGTGACCAAGACACAGATACGGTCACTTGGATTTCACTGTCTATTAGCAAGAGTGCTGGGGAGCACTTTGAAGGACTTTTCCAGACTTGAATAGTCAGATAATGTGAGGAAGTGACATGGGAGCTGAGATCTGACAGATGAAGTGTCTGATGGAGGGGAGGCAGGATTCATGCAGATCACATGGGTCCCATGGTCCTAAGATGAGAAGTTAAGGGCTATCGGCACAGACTGGGTTAATCTGTAGAGACTAGAAAGGTTACTCATGGTTCCAGCAATTCAGGAATCAGGGTATATCACCGGTGTTCATGGGCTACCCCAGTTAAGAGTAAAGGCTCAAGGCAAGGAGATGCTGCAGGGCAGGCAATTGGTGGACACTCTCATTCAGTGCATCAAAAAGCATAGGAGGCCAAGATAGGCCAGAACTCTGGATTGTCGTTCCCCAGGAGAGTCATCGATCTGAAAAATCCATAAGGTCCTAGTGGATTCTTTTATCCTCATAGCTCCAGGTCTAACTGATGGACCTCGCACCTCTGCTGGAATTCTCTATCAACTATATATGGATGAAGGCATCATCTCCATGGAGCTGGGAAGTCATGTGAGTCTTTTATTCAGCAGATAGGAAGATGACATCTTCTAGCCTGATTTGAGGCTCACATTCCCAAAGCGTCCTTCAGCTGGACGGGAACTCTCTTCCCCGCATTTTTAATTTCCTGGGGACATTCTGTACTTGGCCCATGACAGAGGCCATCATAGTCCAAGTAAGCAATGGGTCAAGAGCCAGCCACTCTTTGGAAAGCAGAAGTCAGGATGCCAGAGTAAAACAGTAACTCATTCATACTTCCAACAAATATTTATTGAGCACATATTATGTGCAGCCCTAATGACTCAGTGGTGAGCAAACCATGTTCTCTGTCCTCATGCGACCTATAATCTACTAAGTCAGTCGAAGAGCCTAAAGAAAGTATTAGTTGGAATGTAGTTTCTTCAGTTCTAATAGAACCTCAAAATAATAGGGTTTATGTAAGATAGAACTTTATTTATCTCTCCTTTATCAGTTTACGTGTAAGCTATCTAGGGCTTTTATGTCAAGACCCAGATGCCTTCCATCTTATTGCTCTGTCATTTCGAGTCCGTTGCCCTCATCTATTTAGTCCAAGATAGTTCACCACCAAATTCACATTCCAATGAGTAGGAGGGAGGAAAAAGGAAGAAGAACGGTAGGCACAAACCTCTCCCCTTAAAGGCCCCAAAATTGCACCCCCCCACTTTAGCACAAGCTCTGCTTACAAAAATTAGTCATATGACCCTGCCATGCTGTAAGGGATACTAGCAAATGTAGTCTTTAACTAGACAGCCATGTGCCCAGCCACACTCTCAGTTATGGTGGAAGAAGGTGAGAATGGATATGGGCACAAGCAGTAATCTTGAATCAAGAATATCCAGGAACTTCATCCATATTTCTTTCTGAGCCAGGCATCACCCCACACACTGGTACCCTCATGGCTGCCACAGCTACCCGGGGATGAAGGAGGGGCAGCCTGAGGTAGATCTGATGAAATGAGTTCCTCAGGGGCTGATGCTTTTTGTTCCAGAACTGTCCAGTATGAAAAATCACTTAGAAGGCTAATGGTGCTGCCCATCAGTGGTGCCAATCATTGCCTTGCCAACATGTCCTAATGGCCACAATGATGCTAATGATGATGGGCAATGTTGATGCTGGATGAATTCTTTGTGTCACTGGTGTAGCGGTAAATTCCCTTAGCATCCTTGGATGAAAGGTGCAGTGAAGTAGAAACCCTAATTGGAGCTCCGCTGGTAGGCAAGGGAGAAACTCATATTTGTAGGCATCGTACACAGCAAACCTAAGCCTCTGTAGAACAGGAGCTGGACCAACAGCAAGTCACTCTGATGGAGGACAAGCCCAGACTCAGAGAATGCGCTCACCGTGCCCCCACTCAGTCCCCAACGCATTTCAGATTTACCTCACTTTTTATATTTTTATATAAAATGCACAGTAATAACTGAGACTAGCTTCCAATTACTGCACCCTACTATGTTCCAGGCACTGTGCTAAGCACTCAACCGCATTTACACGCAGATTTTCCACTTTACAAAATGCTTTTACAACATCTGAACTTGGTCCTTCCTCCGTGAGGTAAGCGTAGTGAGAATGACCTAAGGGTCATCCGTAGGGTGATTGACCTAAGATCACATGGCCAATCTATAGCCAAGGCTGGCCCGGATTCCCTCCTCCTGTCCATCACTTCCACTGAACCCACCTCTTGTTCAGGCCAGTTTATTTTGGGATTTCTTCTCCAGTACCATTTGGTGTGCTGCACAGTGATTTCCTAATATAGGTCGAACCCCAGGGCAGGTATATCCACTCACTGTCTGTAAACCCTAATTTATAAAACAGAAATTAGATGGTGACAACTCTCTTAAAAAGAAGGAGGTTCGCAATCATCTTCCTTTAAATAGCGAGGTCCTCTAGAGCAATTGCAATATAATACACTCTAGAATAATTCCTTTGCCATTCCATTTTCAAGAACCCACCTGCTGCGGGGAGGGAAGCACACCTGTTGGAGACTTGAAGGGAGCACGGTGGTGGGTGGGCTGCGCTGGAGTGGTCGAGTGAAACTGAATGCTGAGTAAATAGACTGTGGCCTGGGGCATGGAGTTTTTCAGCCTCTGTCATCCGTCATGGTCAAGTACTGAGGGAGCGAGCAGTGCGCAGAAGCTTTGGGCTGCGAGGAGCGGGGCTGAATCTCAGTCCTCATGTTATGTGATCTCCTAGAAGCATTTGACCCAGCTAGTTACTCCCTCTTCCAAAACGCTTCCTCTCCCTCGCCCTCCTCCTCCTTCACTTGGCTGTAGCACAGCTGCCTGGTTTTCCTCCTGCTTCAGTGATCTCATCCCGTGTCATGATTTTGAGTACCTTGCTCACACTGATGATGGCAAAGTCCTATCTCCTGCCCAGATCTCTCCCCTCAGCTCCAGACTCGGAGATCCAACTATGTGCTGTCGTTTCCACTTGAATGTCTGATTGGCATCTCCAGCGTAACATGTCCAAACAGAACTCCTGATTTTCTCTCCAAATATGGCTTCCCCCAACAGTCCCCATCGGAAAGGCAACATCATTTTCCCAGTTGCTCAGGACAACTCTTTCTCTAACACCTCACACGCAACCTGTCAGCAGATCCCGTTGGCTTTATTTTCAAGATATATACGGAACTCGACGCTGCTACTGCCCTGATCCAAGCCCCCCCCCCCCACCGGGGTTATTTCAGGAGCCTCCTAACCAGTCTCCCTGCCTCCATCCTTGTCCCCTCAGTTTGTTCTCAGCCTAGCAACCAGAAAGATGCTGCTAAGACCTAAATCAGATCATGTCCCTTCTCTGCTCAAAATCCTCTCATGGCTCCTCTCTCCCTCAGAGTGACAGTAAGATCCTCAGGATAGCATGATCAGCGCCCCTTGTGATCTGACCCCCACATACACACCCTTACTCTGACTTTATCTCATCTCCCCCGACCCACCCCTTCCCCACAGCAAGCAGCACTGGCCTTGCTATTTCTAGAACACGCTGGGCACGCTCCTGCCTCAGGGCCTTGGAATTCGCAGTTCCCTCTGTCTGGGACCCTCTTCCCTGGGCTCTCTGCGGGTTCTCCCGCCTCTTCCAGGTCTGTATTCAGATATCACACTCTTGGTGAGGGCTTCCTTGCCGCCCAGAATTGCAGCAGCTGCTTCACACTCCCTACCAGCCCTCCCCTCCCTCTTCTCTATATTGTTTTTCTCCTTGGTACTGACCGACCTCTCACTTACAGTATCTTCTGTTGATTATTGTGTTTGCTGTTCTGTTTCTCTCCACTAGAGCTGAAGCTCCATGAGAGCAGGAATTCTTGTCTGGTTTGTTCCCTGCTATTCTCTCAGTGTCTGCAATGGTGCTTGGACCCTGATGTATGTGGGCACACAGTAAATACTGGATGAATAAATGAATTGAATGAATGGCTCCGCCACTTTTAGCCTTGAGCAGGACACCTAATCTCTCTGAGTGTCAATTTCCACATCTGTGAAATGAAGATGATAATTCCCACCCCCCACAATGTCCTTAGGAAGATTAGAAATAGTGCATGAAATAGCCAGCGCAGGGCCTGACATGTGGTAATTCATCGCTGTTGTTATTGCTATTTCAGATGAAAATGGAGCCACCTGAAACGCACAACTCTAACCCAGCACATCAAGATCCTCCAGTAGATCTCAAAGCCCTCTTGACCCGGTTGAGCTCCAGATTGATTATCATTACCAATGTACTCTTCCTGCCACGGGATGGGACCCAAGCGTGGAGCCCCCCACACCACTCTGTTCAACAACTTGACTATAATTCATCCATCCTGCAGTCAACAATGTGCGTTGATACTTACAGTATCTTGGAAGCTGAAGATCCAAAGGAAAACAAGACTTTGCTCCTCTCCTCATGGAGCTCATCGTCCTGCACGGGGGGGGGGTGAACTGATAGACACCTGACGTCAGAGAATATAGTGAGTTCTAGGAAGTTCTAGGGGAAGTCTGTTGCCTGCTGAACACCTCCACCCTCACGCACACAGAATATGCTCTAGATTCCAGACAATCATAAATACAACAAAAAATGAGCACACACTGGTACATCCTGATGTCAGATATGCTAACCCTGTAGTGCCAGCAGCATTAGGAACACAAACTCTTGAGGATTTTTCATGGTGCTAAGGGTTGAGTGTCTCCACCTCAGGGCTTCATCACAGTGGCCACAGTGCTACACTGAGGTAAGCTGGCCCACGACGGAATGAAGGGCCACAAGGAAAGAGGCCACATGGGCCTCTCCAGGCCAACCTAGAAACCCAACTAATCTTAAGCAAAGGCCAGGGAAACTCCTGGTTGGGCCTCACCTCCCTAGTTGATTGGGAAGTGCACCCATGCACTCTGGCCCTTCCTGAACACAACTGTCTTCCTCTCAGCCTCCTCAGGGGAACTTCCTGCCTGGTGCCAGAAGGAGGTTGCTCAGGGTGATGGAGAAGTACAGGCTGGGCTGGGGCCCACCCCCACATTCCTTGGCCCTGCTCCAAAGCATACCTCCACCCCTTCACTTCTCAGCTGCCATTTCACCTGTGGGGCCCAGGTCTTCCCTCAAATGGGTGCCCTGGGGGAATGATTCACCCAAAGGATGTGGGAGGGCCTCCAGTAGGAGGGCGTTTGGCTCCCATGTAAATTGAGCAAGAAGTGCTGTGTGAGGCTGTAGCCGGGGGCTAACTCTTCCCTCTACAGGAAAGCTCTGGAAAGCCTTTGTTTGACTAGGGTGTTTTCCACACGGCACAGTTGCTGTGGTACCAGCAGTTCCTACAAGATTCCGCTTGATAAGACTGAGCTGGGGCGGGGGAGGGGGGGGGGACGGGAAGGGGGAGTGCAGGGTTTCTGGTTGGCAGGTGGCAAGTGGCAGCCTGCAGAATATTCTGCCAACCCAGGCCCTCCTGCTTGCCACACTCAAGTGGTTTTCCTCCCAAAGGAGACTTCAAGGAGCACATCCAGAGAGCGTGCATCTGGCTCCACGACAAACCCTCCTCTGCAGCAGTGGAAGCGGGAGAGCTCCCTGTGGTCAGCAGGGCCCGGCTTAACCTCAGAAACTTTCCTGGGTGCCCCCTAAAATGGCAGGCCATCCCAGGATGTACAGTCTATGTCCTGTGACCCCAGGGCACAAAATTGCATCTGGGGCACGTCCTGAACTCACCAGGGCTTGGCTCCCTTCTCAGCCAGGAAACGCACCTCCAGAAAACAGCAGGTGTGCACATGTTGGGTGGCAGCAAAAGGAGAAATCTCGGCCTGCGCCTTTACCACAAATCCACCATCAACACGGTGGTACGAGCCCGGGTTTAAACGTAAGTAGACTGCACTCAGGTCTGGGCTGTGTGAGGTCAGATGAGTTATTGCACCTCTCTGAGACTCATCTGAAAAGATGGGAGTGATGATAATCATGTGATGGTGTTGTTGCGAGGATGGAGGAGATGTTGTGTGTCGGGCTTCTAACACAGAGCCGGGCACATGGAAAGTGCAAACGGTAGCTCCTGCCCTTGTTGATGTGAGGAGAAAAGGGAGGAGGCAGGAAGCTGTGTCCCCAACCATACAGGACCCTGAAGTGTGAGGAACCTTCACCCTTGCTGCCCAGGCCCGGAATGTGCCCCCAACTTCATGTACCAAAGCCAGCATCCTTCCAGACCTCCTCTGTGTTCCCTGGAATTCCGCAGGCAGAGCTCCTCGTGCCTCCCTTCATCCTCTATTATAACACTCCTGTTGTGTATTCTGAGTGCTTGCCTTTGGCTCTCCCACATGTCACCGACTGCTCAGGTGCGAGGATTCTGCTTGGTTGAGTGTCGCCTTCCCAGCTCCTGTTCCCTTCCCTGGCACAGAGGTGCCCAGCGAACCTTAACCTACCCCTTGGCTCCAGCTCTGCTTCAGGAAGCACCAGCAGCCCCAGGAGCGAGCACACGGCACGGCCCGCGTCCCCATGAAGGCTGTGGAAAGAGGGCAGTGGTGCCCCCTTCTCCTGCCCTCCTCATTTCCCTTCATCCCCGAGGAGCACAGTGAGGTCATCGTTCACCAGCTGGAGAGCAAATGGCGTGCGGGAGGGCAGGAGATTCACCGAAGGGCACTTAATGCATTAACAGCAGAACAAAGATGACAATCCGTCACCACCTCCAGCTCGGAGCCAGGCTTAGCCTACACTACATTTTTTCCATGAATAAATGAGAACCTCAGACCATTAAAAAAATGGTGGACACTATGAGAGCTCAAATCAGGTCCCCTCCTTGTGCGGAGAAAGTTTCTGTCTTTGAAACTGGAAATGAGAGAAGGTATGTCCAATCCTCATTTCAGCTGTGTATTCCCTGATGGCTTTGCCTGACTCCAGAATCTAAGTTAGGTCCCCCTTGCTCTCCTCTGTCATCATTCCCTAGAGTTTTCTGTCATAGCACTCATCACATAAACTATGTATAGCTGTGTGCTGCATAACGATGTTTTGGTCAACGACAGACTGCATATACAACTGTGGTCCCTTAAGATTGGTACCATATAGCCTAGGTGTGTAGTAGGCTATACCATCAAGATTTGTGTAAGTACGGTAGGGGTGGAAGAAATTTTCCTCTACCCTCCTAGGTTTTTCTGGCTGGCCTAGGAATTAAATTCACATGAGACAGATTAACAGGAGAAAAACAGAAGTTTAATAATGTGTATATATAGGAGAAACCCAGGAAAACTGAGTAACTCGCCAAAATGGCTGAAGCCCTCATCTTAAATACCATCCTCAGCTAAAGACAAAAGAAGACGTTGGGGGTGGGGAGAGTCAAGGACTTCAAAGGGAAGGACGGCAATTCACAGGCAGGTGGAAAGGAGCAAATGTTTGGGAAACAAGTGTTTGGCCACAGAAACAGAAGAACACGGGAGAACAACAAACAGGCATCTCCAGGTTCCTCGCTGTCTATCATCTAGTTCATGTTACGTAAGGTGAGAGCTCACTTCCTGAGACAGATTTTTTAATCTGAATTCTTTTAGGCTGTTAAGGAGGAGGTAACAAGAAAAACTTTCTGAGTCTTTTGTTTCTTTAAAATAATCAGCCTAAAATAATCCTCGTGTTAAGGAGACACATTTTGGGGTGGCAAATTTTGTTCCTCTTCAGTACACTCTACAATGTTCACACAATGATGAAATCACATTATGATGCATTTGTCAGAACAAATCCCCATCATTAGGCGACAAATGACTGTACACTTTATTTGTAAAATTATTTGTTTACTATGCAATTCTCCTCTGTACTCATAGAGATGAGGGCAGTGGTGTATCCAAAGGATCTAGCCTACTACCAAGTATGTAATAAGCTCTCAATTTGTCATAGTAGCAATAGGAAGCTAATACAGCCACATAGCCCAGATCAGTGTCTTGTATTAATGTAACAAACTATCCATCTGTCTATTGTTTCTACTGACTAACATCTAGAATAGTATGTTGCATGTGAAAGATACTTAATAACTATTTGCAGGATGAATAAATTGAGAGCTGATTATGTGAGAGCAAATTACCACCAATTTAGTGTCTTAAAACAAGATCAGTTCATTTGTCAGAAGTGAAATATCAGTCTCACTGGGCTAAGATCAAGGTGTCACCAGGGCTGGTTCCCACTGGAGGCTCTGAGGGGAGAATGTGTTTCCTTGTCTTTCTCCAGTTTCTCAAGGCTGCCCACACTCCTTGGCTCCTTACCCCTTCTTCCATCTTCCAAGCCAGCAGTGTAGCATCTTCAAACCCTCAGTCTCTGACCTCTGTTTCCATTGTCAGATCTCCTCTGACTCTGACCCTCCTGCCTCCCTTTTATAAGGACTCTGTGATGACACTGGACCCACTCAGATAATCCAGGATAATCTCCTCATTTCAGAATCCTTAATTACATCTGCAAAGTCCCTTTTACCATGTAAAGTAACATATTCACAGGTTCCAGGGACATGGACATCTTTGGGGGCCCATTATTAACCCTACCACAGTGACCTATGTAACATGTATTTGGGAATATTTGAACGAAGGAGGCTTCCTAAATTGCAACAGTCTTTTACTCCAAACCTCAAGATGTTTTTGTAAATTATGTGTCCTATTCTTTGACATCACAGCAACTCCAATTGGAGGTGATGTTTTCTCATCAGTTCAGCATGTTTGTGAAATGTGCGTGTGATGTGACTATCTGCATAGGAGCAACGGGACCCCTCCTGTTGTGGGTTGAATTGTGTCCCCCCAAAAAGATGTCTTGAAGCCTTAATCCTAGTACCTGTGAATGTGACTCTGCTTGGAAATGGGGTCTTTGCGGATGTAATGAAGTTGAGATGAGGTCCTATGGGGCTGGGCTGGGCCCTAAACCCAGTGCCTGGTGTCCCTATGAAGAGAGTGAGACTTAGACACTGAGATAGAAGGAGGAAAGCCATGTGTCGACAAAGGCAGAGACTGGAGTGATGGGGCTGCAAGCCGAGGAGTGCCAAGGATTCCAGCCAGCTCCAGAAGCTGGAAGAGGCGAAGAAGGACCCTCTCCTAGAGCTTATGGAAGGACCGTGGCCCTGTGACACGTTAATGTCAAACTGCCAGCCTCCAGAACTATGCAGGAATACATTTCTGTTGCTTTAAGTCCCCCAGTTTCCGGTGATTTGTTACAGCTGCCCCAGGAAACGAACACCCCCTCCCCCTTATCCCCCACCCCGTGAGCTCCCCTAAGCCCTCACTGAAGACCCCACTGGAGAAGCTGCAAAGCACTCCTGGTTCCCAGGCTGTGGCTCGTTTCCTCACGGTCGCACACACCAGGCAGCAAGGAAAGTTTTCGCTGTTGGGAAGTCACGGTCGACTCCCCCTCGGCTCAGGCCGCCTGCTCCAGACAGGCTCCAAGTCACCACTGTGAATTCATTTTTTGCCTTGTTTCTTGGAAAGCACCTCTCAAGACCATTTCAAGAAAAACAAATGGTGAGGTTTGCTTGGGATCTATTTAAAGTGAATCATCGGTGCTGGTTCCAGTAACAAACCAGAGGCCAGCAGGAGCTTTAGGACAAGAGTAGAGCCACCGTGAGTATGCGCCTACTGCAGGCCAGGCCCAAGCAGGGCGCTGGCGCACCCATAGCCTGGCACTGGCCCTTGTTCACTGGCAGCCTTGGTTGCTGCCTTCCCAGCCCTAATGGACACAGAACTGCATAGTCACCAAAAAAGAACTTTGAATCAGTATTGTAAGGTTTACCACCTTGACAAGTTTAACAGGAACATTTTGAACCCACATGGCCCCTTTCACCCAGAAATCCCAAACTGCTTGATTATAACTGGCCCTGTATGTGCAAAGCCTCTTGCTAGCCCTCCAGGGGCTCCATCAGCTAAGAACTGTCTTCCCCCTGAGAAGGGGACAGTCAGGCTGAGACCTAAAGGAAATGAAGGAGCCTTGAGAAGATTCAGGAAACAAATATTCCTGGCAGCAGGCAGAGTATGTATAAAGGTCCTGTGGCAGCAAGGAGGTTGGCCAGTGTTCAAGGAACTGAAAGAAGACCAGCATTGCAGGAGTGGTGTGAGCATAGAGGGACATGGAGAATAGGGAGCTGGAGGTGGGGCAGAGTCTGGTCATGCAGAGATTTACTCCACGTTTGGATTTTATTCTAAGTACAAGGCAGGGCTATTGAAGGGTTTTAATGAAGAATGGGGAGGGATGACCTAACATAATCTCCTCTTCTCCTCCTCCTCCTCGTCCTTCTCTTTCTTCTCCTTCTTCCTCTGAGACATCACTGCTGCTGCTATGTAGAGAGCAGATTAGAGATGGCCAAGTGCAGGGAAGGAGAGATGCCACAGTGACCTGCCCTTGGGTAGTGGCACTTGTAAGGGGGAGAGGGCACAGTCAGATGAATAGCGGAGCTGGATTGACAGGACTTGCTGATGGACTGGGAGGGAGGGACTGGCTGTGCCTGCGCTGCACAGGGGTTTCTGCCCCATCACAGAGCAGTACACCCAGCTTGTGGGCTCGTGGGTGCCCCTTGGGAAGCTGTTCCAAGACGGCCTTCAGGGTCCCATCCAGGCCTCACTGTCATTAACCAAGCTGGGTGGTCCTGCTGTTCCCTGGAGCTGAGCTCAGTCTGGTACAAGATGCCTTGGTGACACTTAGCTCCCATACGATAGGCAGCATTTTGTCCGAATTTGATGGTGTCCTTCACACATGATAGGGCCACCTTTCATTTTTTAATTGTCACAAAAAGTCTTGCCTGAAAGTAGCTCCCTGCCGTAAGCTGGGATCCTACCTCTAAATCAGTGGTGAGCTGGTAAACCAGCTCTCTGGGGAGGGAAAATGACACCCTGATTTGTAGCATTTACCAATTCCTGTGGTGTAAATGCTCCCACCACGGCCACCTTCAAGCTATCAACAGTTAAGCCACTCCCTAGATTGCTGAATAGTTAGGAGCTGGCTCCAGCACAGCACTGCACGACCGCTTGTCCAGGACACTCCACCAGCGACCTCCTCCCTTCTCAGAAGCAGAATCTCCTGGAAACTCGGTGATGTGCTGAGTCCGTCAGCGTGGGAATATATGCAGTGACTCTCTGCATGCTCAAGTGTGTCTGTATAAGTTAGCTACAAAACCAAACCTGTTACTCCGTGCAACTTCTCGGCACTGGTTAACTTTTCCCATGGGTAGGTTTGGGGGAGCTTCTGGGGCGTTGGAAAATCTAGGTGCCAGCTCTGGGTCTCCTGCTAATTGGCTAACTGACCTAACCTCTCTGAGTCTTAGCCTCCATGTCTGCCAAATGAGAGGCAGGTGATCTCTGATTCTCGGTCACTAAGTACATTCCCAGGTCAATGGACCCAGCACTCAGCAAGTTTCCTGGGGAATCTGCTTCTGACCTGGGCAGCAGTAAGGGCTGAGAAGTCAGAGCATATTGTGGGGTGCGGAGTTATAGACCAGCAGCCATGCAGCATTGAGCAAGAGTCAGCTCCTAAAGGCTGGACGTTTCTCCTTAAACACCGTGTACCTGGACCCGGGTAAGAGTCATGGAGATGGAAAGGAAGAGCCATGAGATTTGGTGACTGGACAGGTATGGGAAATGCAGACACATAAGGACTAAAAGATGGCTCCCAAGTTTGAACCTACGCAAATATCCCATGCCATGTGGCACACTATGTGTAGCATCTTTTGGATTTATCTGGACAGTAAAACTGTGTTCAACGACTGCAGACTCTGCACCTTCCAAAATCGATGAAGAACTTTCTCGAATGTCCCCTGGTGCCCCTCCTATAAGATGGTATCAACACAACTCTGTGACCTCACCCACGGAGTGTTGGTGGCAGCTACTACCTAGTGTGTGAGCTGCAGGAGGCTGAGAAGGGACCCACGCTGACTTCGCGCACCCACAGATGACCAGACAACCCCTCCAGACAAACTCTCCATCCCCCATTCCCACCCACCCCACCTCCTCACCATGCACGTCCTGAAATGCCTTCCTGGTTCCATAATCGGCATCGTCTCCAACCTGAGCTCTCTCCCTTCAAAGCCACAGAAGTGAAAGTTGTTGAGAGAGGTCAGAGGAGGGACTGGGAGATGTTCAGATGCCTGGAGAGCAAGGACTGAGCTTCTCCTTCCTTTCTTGTTCTCAAGAACATACTGAGAACATTAGCTGTTGACACATGAAATATTGAAGAACCTTGTTTATGCTCTTGGCACCTTATTTGGGTGAATGTGCCTTTTCAAAGTCAAGAAGTTTCTGGGGTTTTTTAATAAAAAATATGAAAATATCTCAAAACAGAAAGGAATACTGAGGGTAACCATATAAAAACAAGTTAAGCTGGGAAAAATAACCCAGTCCCACTGAGTCCCAAAGAGAACCTTGGTTTCCATGAGACGTTAACAAGGTGCAGAGCTCCTGGCAGTGGGTGGGATGCAATGCTGCTCTCAGTCCAATGAGCAAACATCCTCCCTGAATCCAGCATCCGAGCCCCACACGCCGTGGTTCCAGTTTGCTCCCCATTTTCGTCCCTCCCAGACACACGCCTCACAGACTTTTTTATTTTCATCTCCTCACCTTGAAAAGCACACATTTGCAAGTGTGAGTATCTTAGCAGGGAGACAAATCCAGCAGGCATTCAAGACACTCAGGTGAGAAGTAATGCATCTCATCGGAAAATTCCCATCCCCAGCACTTTTTTTTTAATTCCCGAGATAAATGGGTCTTTACTTACAGGACTAAGGACTCTATTATTTTTCAAATACTTTCCTGCTTCCAAGGAGCCAAGAAAATTGGTCATGCACCTGGGCAGCTAATCCAACCTCAAAAATCTTCTGATCTTAATGAAAAGGCCCTAATTTTTCCTGCCCTTTGATAAATGTTTCTTCACTTCTTCCCAGCAGTACTCAGCGTGTGGGGTTGGCAGGCAGGGCGCTCAGTTTATGCAAATGGACAGGAACACCTGATTCACCAGGATTCTTCCCACTGCCTCCAATCCAGGGGTCCCTGCTCCAGAGGGCTTGGGAAGGGGAGCATACCACTCAGGACCCAGTCTCCAGGAGGCTCAACAAGCATGTAGATTCTGATGCAGATTTTAATGTTTATATATAGAGATGTGAATATTCGCACATGTCAAAAGACCAGATTCTTAGAGATGGCTTGAAGGTGTCATAAAAGCTAATTCGAGTGGAAAAGCTTCCCTGGGAAGAATTCCCCTGCCTTAGAGTTGTCTCTCTTGTGTCCTTCAAAGCCTGGGAGAGAGTGGCAAGGACTTGAACTGTGGCCTAAAGGCAGAATTTGCGGCTCTCTGTCCCAAGGAATGAATCGCAGCCCCTCAGGCTGGAACAGGCAGGTGCTGTGAAATCTGGCTGACAGGTCAACTTCAAGGTGATGTGCTTGCTGAGTCTTCTCTCTGTTCAGCTAATCTCCCATCACACCTCTGGTGCCTGGTAAAGGTAAATAATTATGACTAAGTGTGTGAAGCGGGAGGGTCTTTGCACACCTGTAATTATTACCTGGCAAGTCTCTGCGGAACCTGGGAGTTTCCCAAAGGGCCTTTCTGGAGGGGGTAAGTCAAGGCAGGTCCTCCAGACAATATCTGGGGGGAGGAACCAGCATCCAAATTTACAAAAGTGGATGCGTGTTTTGTGGCGAGGCTGGAGGACTCAGAGTTCAAGCCCCCAGGCTCCTAAGGTGTGATCAGCCTGGATGAAACGCTCACATATGTCTGTAAGTGTCTCAGAATAAACAAAGCAAATTCCCTTAGAGCAGCACGGTCCCACGGAAATATAACGTGAGCCACATACATCATTTTACCTCTTCTAGTAGCCACGCTAAAAAAAGAAACAAGTGAGATGAATTTTAATAATATAACTCAATTGACCAAATACATTATTTCATCATTAAATACAAAAATATTTAATATAAATATAAAAATTAGTAGTGAGATAGTTTACATTCTTTTTTCATACTAAATTTTCAAAATCCAAGGGTATGTTATATTTATGGCACATCTGAATTTGGACTCGCCATATTTCAAGTTCTCACAGCCACAGAGGTCTCATACACTGTATCAGACAGTGCAGCCTCAGAAGGTAAAGCTTCCAGCTCACAAGATTTTGATTTTCCACAGACCTTTTATAGAGAATGAATGAAATTTTGATACATGACATTTGATTTGACTTAAAATGCTAGTGCTCTTAATAAAATAGGAATTTCTAAAAATTTCTTTTAAATGATACCAAGCAGGTCTCAAGCCCAGATGCGGCTGACACTTCCTTTCAAGTGCTGATACCCTCACGCAAAGCATCCTGACTTAGGCTAATCATTTTTTACCCGTCACAACGGAAAAATAAATAAAACCCGATTCTGATGGTTCCCACCCTTAGGGCTGACCAAGGTTTAGGAAAGCACACACGTGTTCATGTGCTGTCTGCCAGGGATGCTGGGCACAAAGACTGCCCTGGAGGAGAGCACAGCCTAATGACAGCCAAGCAGACAGAGCATGCCTAAGGCTGCATGTGCAGGGGCAGTGACGGCAACGCAGCCAACCGGCGGCTCTGTCGGAGAGGCTGCCCAGAGAGGAGGCCCGGGGCCTGGATCCTGGACAGTAACTAGAAGTTCTGCAAGAAAGAAGGCGGGAAGAAGGAAGACAGGAAGGGAGCAGGAGGTACAGAAGCCTGCAGTGTCTGGCCCTCAGGGAAGCACAGGACATGAGTTAGCAAGGAGGGAACTGTGCACAGTGGGGACAGTCTAGAGCAGCACTGTCCCCAACCGAAATATAATGTGAGCCACACATGTGGCATTTTTTAGGAGCCACATTAAAAAAAAGGAAAAAAAAAATTTAATAACATATTTTATTTAACTCACTTTATCCAAAATATTATCATTTCAACATGTGTGACATTTTACGTTTATATTCTTTTTTTGACATCAGTCTTCAAACTCCACGTGTAATTTACACTTACGCACATCTCAGTTTGGACCAGCCGGGCATCCCCCGCTCCCTAGCCGGACCCCGCTGGTGGCTGCCATATATGGCTATGCAGATCCAGATGTGGGTGTGTGTATATAGGGAATAATAACTTCTGCTCAAATTCTTGAGTTCAAAAGAGAAGTCAGAACAGAATAAAGGGAGAGGGCTAGGGATGAAAAGGGAGGGAGAGTCACCCACCATTTTCGAGGGGCCGGCGTACGCTGCTGGGCGCTATAACCAGAGCATGAACAAGAGGCCCCAGCTCCTGTCCCATGTTCCCAGGGGTGTCTGTGTGAATGGCGAAAAGACGAGCCAGAGCACTGAGGAACGTCTGCTGAATCTTGCTGACGGCCTGGACACCAGATCCCAAGGATGACCCAGAAAACAACCACGAGAGCACCTGGGGCTGGGGAGAGGGAGGGTTGGCTCTGAGCCCGGCCGCGGAGGTCACCCGAGGTCACGGCCAGGGGCGGGAGCACGCTGAGGCTGCCTAATGTGGAAATGTTTGGATCCGGAGCGGTGCAGGCGGTGCAGGCTGTGCGGCCAGCCGTGCGCCCGCCCGGGGAGGAGGAGGTCGGGTCGCTGGGGCCCAGCGCAGCGCCTGACAGTAACCAGACGCGCGCAGGACCACGTGAAGCGCCCGCCGCGCCCGCGCCTGCCAAGACCCCGACTACATGTTTCCTAATAAGTCTGGCGGTGCCTGCGTCCTCTCTCTGAAGAACGGCCTCTCCCCTCCGCCCGGGTCTTATTCAAGAAGAGGGGATGGAGTTGCTGCAGGAGAGGGAGAGCACGCCAAACCGAGCAAGAATTTGGACCACAGCTCTCCTTTTCCCTGGCCTCCTCTCTCTGCAACAGACCCGCTTTGTGAATGAAGGGGGAGCTTTTGCAAGATGGCTCTCTACCCCTTGGGCTCAGGGTTCACACTCCAGAGGTCAAGGGGTCTCTGCCGCTTCAGCCCTTCTCTCCAGGAGCGGAGAGGGGGCGGCGCATCGGAGCGGACCTCCACCCTTTCCTCCTCCTGCTCCTGCCTCCCCCTCCCTGGAAGGGCGCCACCCACCTAACTTCAGAAGGAGGTCACCCTCCCAGCGTCTGGCCTGTGGATCCCGGCCACTCAGCGCTGCTGCAGGGAGACGCTTCCTAGTCGTGGTCCCAGCCCACACAAAGGGAGGGCAGGATTACAACATGCGTGTGTTTGGGTCAGGAGCACTTTTGAACTATGGCTGCGAGAAAGAACAGCCTGTACAGCCACTCCGAGTCTCCCAGCATCAAAGAATGTACAATAGATTAGCCCTCCCTTGCAAAACAATTTTTTTAAAGCGGTGCAGCCTGGCCTCTTTCTAGGGTCCGGGAGCAAGGCTGGCTGGATTGAAAGAAGCCCTCTCTGCCTGGACAGCAGAGCACCAGCGTCACTCCCGCTCAGCGGTTTATGACCTTGCCTTCCTAATAAGCCCTTGGAACACGATTACCATAGGAGTTTTGCAAGTTTCTAGACCCAGGTGTGGTTGAAGGTCAGCTGCGGGGAGCGGGGGCTCCCCTGCCGTTGGGAGATGGTTACAAAGAATAATTTTCCTGCCCAAGGGCCCGTAGATGATTAACGTGTTTCTTTCTGTTAACCAGGGAGTTAATGGTTATTCAAAGCACTCTTTGATAATGGGGGCGGAGGGGAGAGAATGAATACGTTAACCATTAATGGAGGGAAGTGCCATAAAAGTTTGGATGGAAAACACGCAGCCTGGGAGAGGAATTCACAGGCAACCCTAGTGGGGAGGAGGGGGCGAGGGAGGCGAGGGAGGCCATACGGTTCCTGCATACTTAGAGCAGGGTTTTTTTTCTTTAATCCTTTTCCTTGTTTCATTGCTCTGAGGAAACAGAGTAGGGATAACAGAATAACAAACAGGGGAACATTATAAATAAAGCAGGTTTTATTGGCTTTTTTGCTCCAGCCTCCCACAGCTGAGCCTGTCCCCTGTATGACTCCTTCTTCCGGGCCTCTTTGGGAAGGAGGGGGGCCCAGGCACCCCATGCTGGAAGAAAGTGAGGGTGTCCAGGCGGCCCACACTGAGAGAGGCGTGTCACTGTGCCAGCCTCTCCTTGGGGCCACCTGGCCCAGCAATCAGGCATGGCCATCCTGGTTTCGGACCTGAGTCACTCCGCCGGGCCCCAGGGCAGCCTCGCCTGGGGGAGAGGCTGCCTATTTGCTGCCTTGGGGAAAAGCAGCGTTAGCTTCAGTTTCTTGCAGCCAAGCTGTTAGACCCGGTGCAGCACCCATGAGCGCTCCACAGCAGGCAGGCCCAGGAAACCGGAAGATGTGGGGGGCAAAACTCAGGCTGTGCACAAATGGCTCCCAGGGCACAGAGAAGGCTTGGATGAACGGTGACATTCCATGACCCGTCAGGCATATATGGGGCCTTCTCTATGTGCAAGTCTAGTGCGAAGTGTTTTCTGGGGTATAAAGGCCAGACCTTGCCCTCAAGGGGTTTATAGTCCATTAGGGAAGTAAGACAATCTATGGCAAGTGCTGGAAGAGCAGCACCAACAACCCGCTGAATCAATTCAAAGGAAGGAAGGCCCACTTGACTGGTGGGATGGTCATGGAGCTCATGGAGAAGGCTGCCTACCAGCTGGGCACCGAGGTTGGAAAAGGCTTTGATGGGGACAAAGCCGGGAGGGAGCAGAGAGAGACAGGAATGGGGGAAATGTTTAAGGAAGAGACCTAAATGTCTGAGAAGAGAGGAGAGAAGGAGCTCGTGTTTGAAAGATCTGTTTAGGCCTATCTGTGAGGAACCTCAAATGCCTAGCTGTATTTATACTCCATTCCTTGGCATTGTGAAAATTTTTGAGAACAGAGTGAAGTTATTAGCGTGGGACCCGGAGGGGTGGCGGGGTTGGGGGGTGCGGGAATGAAAACAAGCAAGTCAGCTGTGAGGTCACTAGGGTGGCTGAGGCAGGGATGTGGGCATGCAAGACAGATGGAGGCAAGAGGCATTTGGACCGCAGGACTGGATTCAGTGTGGGGTAGTGGACAGGAAATCAGAGGGAGGGAGAGCACCACGCAGGTTCCAAAGAGAGTGTGTGATGGAGGGTGCCCTGCCTCTTTCTGCATCCCAAGAGACCAGAAAGCACAGAGTAAAAGCAACATATTTACTCCTCAACATTTACTGAGGGTTGACTAAGGGCTGGGCTCTATCCTAGGCAGTGAGGGGAGATGGTCAGACATGGTTGTTCCTTGTCCTCCCCAAGCTCATTGCAGACCGAGGATGGGGCGGGGGGGGGGGGGGGGGGGGCAGTGGTTAGAAAACAGGTGATTGCAATGTAGCACAGTGGGTCTTGGTCCTTTTCAGATTCACCTTTGGAGATTTTTAGAAATACAGACTCCCATCAACTGTTTAACTCCCTCCCACCACCACCACTACCAAAAAAATCTCTCGGTGCAGGGCACAGGCATGCCTTTTTTTTATTGAGAATCACTGCAGTGTAGCATCATGAGTCCAACTGCCTCCATTAGTATTCCAGCTCTGCCACTTACTGACTCTGTGTGTGGGGGACTGCTTTTGCCTTGGTTTCCCCATCTGTAAAAAGGGATAATAGTCTATACTTCGTGGGGCTCTAGTGAGGATTGGACATGATAATCCATATAAAGTCTTTGAGAAACAGCCTAACGCATAGCAAGTGCTTAGTACATGCTAGCTGTTAACTGAAAGGCATTGTTAGGGTTGTGGGGGGATGACAGGAGCTATGGGAATCCAGGGGGCGAATCTAACCTGAATTTCAGGGTCAGGAAAGGCTTTCTGGAGGAGATGACTTCTGGGCCAAAAGACACAGAGAGTATGGGGTTAGCCAGGCCAAAGTGGAGGAGGGTGAGAGCGAGGAAGGGATAACATTTCAGGCAGGGGGAACAGCATATGCAAAGTTCCCAGACAAGAGAGCCAAAAACATGGAAGGGACAGGAAGTGGTTTGGTGAGACTGGAGTACAGGAAGAGGCAGGACTGCAGAGGGAGTGGGAGGTGGACTGGGAACTAGCAACATTTGAATTTTATCCTGAGGGCAACAGAGAGCCACTGCAGGATTTTAAGGAGAATGATCAGACCTGCATTTTAGAAGCATCTCTCTTGCTGCAGTATGGATGAGAGTTGGAGGGGACAAGCCTAGAAGAGGAGGCGAGTTCGAAAGAGGTTGACATCATCCTGACAAGGGAGACCAATGACCTGAGCTAGGGAGGTGGCAGTGGGGAGAGAGAAAATGGGCAAAATGAGACACGCCGGGGTGGCTGCCTGGAGGAAGGGCTGAAGGAGATGTGCATGCCAAGGATGACCCCAGTCTTGGCCTTGAACAGTCTCCTGGGTGGGTGGCGGTGCCATCATGTTAGAAATGGCACATGGAAGAAGAGCAAGTTTGGGAAGAGAAATATGAATTCAGGATTCAATATGTTGCGTTTTCGGTGCTTATGAGACATCGCAGTGGAGCTGGCTGTCCTGTGGGCATTTGGACATAAGGGTTTGAGGTGCAGGAAATATGATTGGCTGTAGATGTGTTTTGGAGCAATTAGAGCAGAGGCTGGGGTGGACATGATGTTCATCAGAGAATCAAAGAGATGCAGGAAGGGGTTCCACGTGCCCGAGGAAGCAGTATTGAAACGGCTGACCACGGCCTAGAGTGGAGAGGGAGGTGGATAAGGTCAGAAAGTGTTCTTGGCAAGTGGCAACAGGAGTGAAAGGCTGTAGTCAGAGAGGGAGACCCCTGAGTCCAGTATTTTTGGAGTGAAGCAGTTCCAAGTGAGCCTGAGTTCCGAGGTATAGCCATATGCATGACCAAGGAGAGGCGGTGAGGAAGATGAGGCTGAGTTACGCGTTGCCGCTGAGCCCCTGAAGACATTGAGACTGCCCAGGAGCCATGATGGGGAAAAGTGAGCTGGGTGCAGCACTCACTGGGGTGTGACTTGGCGACCCAGGAGGAAGACAGCAAGGATGAAGAGTGTGTGATAAATATGGATGGTCGAGAGGCTCGTGACCATGCTAGAGCAATGCTGTGGAGGCCACACTTCAGGGACACTCGCCCGCCTCCCCTCCCAGACACTAAGAAAGACATGGACAAAGGTATGGGCGCCTTTGGACCCATTCCTTCCATCTGTCCCCTGCAGGGACACCGACTAGGGAAAGCTGACTTCAGGAAGGCATGTTCCAGGAGCATGTAACAGAGGACATTCCTGTGGGAACTCACCAGCGCGTGCAGGCAGAGAGAGATGGCTTCTCACTGAGCTGTGCTCCTGACTTGCTCTGGGAACAAGGGCTTTAGGTTTTCCATCTGTTAAATGGGATAATGATTCTTGACATCTGCTTGCCTCGCTTAGACATTATGAATATAAATTTTTCCCCAAGTGCTTTGGGCTCATGTTAACAGGAACTACCTAAACATCAGTGCACTCATTGCTGGATTTTCTTGGACATCAATCAACTTAAATGGATAATGATAAATTCCTCTGTCTATCTTTGTTGAGAGATTAAAGAGAGAGAATCCCACAAGACCTTGGTTCTAGAATCCTCTGCTCTATGAAATCTCTTTTGGAAAAGGAGTCTGAGGATATACTCAGGGCTAATAAATGGCAAAAGATGTCTAGAGGTTTTTGGTTTTAAAAACCCCTTCCTTGGCCCATCTAGATTAAAAGATTTGGCAGAGAAGAATGAGAATGGAGATGAGTAATATTTTGGGACCATGTATAGACACCGGGCAATTCCAGATTCATTTACTCATTCACTTATTCATTTATTCCATACAAATTTACGGAACACTTACCAGGGGCTCCCTACAAAGTGTCCAGCAATCAACCCCAGGGGTGGGTTGTGACTGTCTGACCCCAGAAGAAGCTCCCCTGGCTGGATCCCCCTCAGAGTCGGGTTTCTTACCTTGTACCCCACACCCACTCACATTCTCCTCTTAATCTTTATAGTCTGTGGGGTGAGATGGCTGTTAGGCAAAAGGAAATTGTTTTCTGGTGTGTATGTGTCTGTGTGTTTGTGGTGTGTGTGTGTCTGTGTGACACCCAAAGACCAATAGTGGAAGGAGGAAAACTAGAAGCCCCAAAGGCCACTGCTCTTCTCCGATATCCTAAGCTGGGACTTTCTGAGGATGAGGTGCACAGAGATCCCGTCCAGGTGAAATATCCCTTCTCCCTAAGGAGTTTCTAAGTTTCTCATGCATAAGGATCTGAATTCCCTTAACCTGCAGGACTGTTTGCACAGTAGGGGTTTGCTGAATGGCAGATGAATAAATGATTTACTCAGTGAATTTGAGGAATAGATCATTCGGGCTAAGCTCGTGCTGATGTGGACAGATGCTGAAGGGGCTTCTGTGTTCTTCCATAATGTGATAGCCTGCGGTTTCTTATCTTGACTAAAAGCGGAAGGCACAGACTCGAAAAAGCAACAAAGATGCTGCCCCTGAAGGTCCATCCCTATAAATTAACCCTAAGCTTTGACTCATTTCAATGGGCCGCCTGGAGGCCAGCCCTGCGGTCGTGTGGTTAAGTTCGCGCTCCACTTAGGTGGCCCAGGGTTTCACGGGTTGGGAACCTAGGTGCGGACATGGCACCGCTCATCAAGCCATGCTGAGGCAGCGTCCTACATGCCCCAACTAGAAGGACCCACAATGAAAAATATACAACTATGTACCAGGGGGCTTTGGGGAGAAAAAGAAGAAGAAAGTGAAAAGAAGATTGGTAACAGGTGTTAGCTCAGATGCCAATCTTTAAAAATAAATAAATAAATAATAAAATAAAATGAATGGGCTGCCTCTTGTCGTGGTTTGTGAAACCGACTATAGGAAGAACCTAAACGGAAAATCCCTTTGAATTTGCGCTGTTTCTGTTCCTGCTCAGGAGCTTAAAGAGGCCTGGGACCACCAGCGCTTCCTCAGCCTTTCCAGCTTCCGGCTTCCATGGCCAGCGTGGGAAACCAGTGCTCCCTAAGGCTCACCTGAGCGCAAACAACATGTCTGTTCACCTTAGGGAAGAACGCTTTACAACCAGATCCACCCAGCAATAGAATGGGATGCCTCGCCAACAGCGAGGGTGGGCCCCATGTTCGCCAGCAAAGGCTGTGCCACCGCCTGCCGGGCTGCTGTAAAAGGGACTCCCACCCCTGGTGAGTGGTTACACCAGCTGGCCTCTGGGGTCCCTTCCAACTGGAAGCTTCTTTAATCCTATGGTTTCAGGTCATGGGACTCTGGAAAGAACAGTAGCGAGACACAGACTCTGACCTCACAAGAAGGAACAATAGATTGAGAAACACAACTGATTCGGTGTTTGGGACCATCCTAACTGACAGCTCCAACATGAGCAAGCTAATGCAATTCACGGGGCAGAAGCTGGTTGTTTGGATGGCTCAAAAAATATCAGCCACGGAGCAGTTTCAGTGACTGTGTGTAGTAATGGCCTCAATTAGGCAGAAATTGTTGGTCTTCTTGCTCAGCGGTCTTCACCCTCGTGCTCCTAAGCACTTGCCACATTGATTGAAATGTGCAGTTGGTACATGATGTGTGTGAAAGGCGCTCGCATAAAAGTGATTTTATGACTCTGGCTGGGGTTTGTAAGCCAAGCAAACAGAAAAATCTCAGGAATAAAAGGGGCAATAAAATAATTACATAATGCTTTGAACTCACACTAAATACCACCTTTATTTCAAGGCTCTCAACGTGTTTTACAAACAAGTTTAGAACTGTTGCTATATCCCCCTTTTATTGGTGGGGAAACTGAGTCACGGTGCAGTGAGGGCTGGAGAGCATGCAGGGTTAGTTTCAAGGGAGAAGTCTGGGAGATGCCTTCACGGTGGGCCAGTGGGACAGCACTCCCTGACTGCACCTTTGTTCTGAGCTTAAATGTACAGATTCTTATCCATAGGTGTAAATTCTACCCACACAGCCCAAGCAGAGCTGAGCTCCAGTGAATGGTTCGTTGACTCTGGGGTTAACAATAATAATAACGGCACAGACCAGTTCTCATGCTTACCATCCATCAGGCACTATCCCCCCACATCTCACCACAGTCCGGTGAGGGTGGGATGGTTATCCTCATGTGTAAATTAAGACGAGGACAAGGCATAAGGAGGTTAGTGCCTTTGTGAACGGCCCATCACTGAGGAGGCGCCAGCGCTGGGGTCTGATCCCAGAACCCGCACTTGAACCACCAAGGACATTGACTTCTGAGAAAAAGGACCCAAACCAACAT